ATTTTAGTTGAAGAAGAGACCTTTGAGATCATCAGGTCCAACCATCTCCCAGCCCTGCCAGGTCCCCACTGCCCCGTGTCCCTCACACCACATCTCCACGGCTTGGAAACCCCTCCAGGGGTGGGGACTCCACCACTGCCCTGGGCAGCCTGGCACAGCCCTGGGCAACCCTCCAGGGCAAGAAATTGTTCCTCAGGGACAACCTCAACCTCCCCTGGGGCAACTTGAGGCCCTTTCCTCTTGTCCTTGCCCCCTGGGAGCAGAGCCCGACCCCCCCCTGGCTCCAGGCTCCTGTCAGGAGCTGTGCAGAGCCAGAAGGTCTCCCCTGAGCCTCCTTTGCTCCAGGCTCAGCACCCCCAGCTCCCTCAGCTGCTCCTCCCCACACTTGGGCTCTAGACCCTTCCCCAGCAGCTCCGTTGCCCTTCTCTGGCCACGCTCCAGCCCCTCAAGGTCCTTCTGGGAGTGAGGGGCCCAAAACTGACCCCAGGATTCAAGGTGCAGCCTCCCCAGTTTGAGTTAACACCATGATTAAACCATACAGCACTTCCCAGGCCTGTGTTGCTGCTGAACTCTACAGGAGAGCACCCCAAGGTCAAACCCCTTACCTGTGACCTCTTCCCTTTGCTGGGCTGCAGCTTGGACCCCACCACCTGCTGCTTTGCCAGCCCTGGGGTGACATTCACCTCCCTGCTCTTTGCCAAGAACACCGACTGCCTCCTGGTAGGGGACAGCAGAGGAGAAGTCAACGTGTTCCTGCTGCAGAACCTGGCTGGGCCCAGCAGCCATGAGGTAGGATTTCCACCAGGAAAAGGTGGTAGGTCCTCAGAACCTGCCTGCTTCTCTGGTGCTTCACTCCTCAGCAAGGGGGTTTCTGGTGAAGATCTAGCTAATAGATGTTGGCATAGGTGGAACAATCCATAGCTAGATTGGAATCTGAGGTAGTTCCTCAACCTGAGGTTGTACCATGCTTTGAGCAGTCTGCTCTAGTGGGAGGTGTCCCTGCCCATGGGACCTCAATATCTTGAAGGTCCCTTCCAACCCAATTCTGGGATTCTACAATTCTTGCTCTTCTTTGTGCCATTCCACTAGAAACTTCAGGATCAGGCCAATTACATCAAACTTCAGCTTTCATTTGACCACAAATCCAGAGGTTGGCCAGAGCTGGATTTGGGGAGGGACTCTCCAGGCAGGAGCAGAAAGGTGGAGCTCTCTCTCCATGCATTTGCCACGGTGCCCTCCCCTGCCAACAGCACAGGAAGGATGTGCCCTCTCCTGGCCACCACCCAGAGAGTCTCACTGGGTGGGTGTCAGCCAACCCATGAGCCCTTTGGCTCTTCTAGAAGCTTCCACTTATCCTAGTGAGGGCTCATCCATCCTAGATAACCTGTAAGAATTTGACTTGCCCAACAAAAAGATTCCTTAAACTTAGAAAATGAAATTATTGCCTTTTTTCTCCCTACAAATCACCAGAAAGCAGAGCAGTAGAGAGATAATTTTCTGGCTATAAGAGTTAAGAGCATAAGGATAATTTTTTTTTCCTCACCAGAACAGGACTAAAAATACTAGTGCTTAATTTCAGAGGTTTTGGGCACGTGGTCTGATGGGTCACTGAGTCACAGAGCCTCACTTCCTGCACCAGCCACCCCCTTTTCTGGTAACAGCAAAGTCTTGCTGGGCTTTGGTGTGTGCCAGGCATGAGAGGTCCATGCTACAAGCAGCACTGGAGGGAGATCAGTACTTCAGGGGCAGTCACCTCTAAGTCCAGCCACCATCATTGGATCAGAAAATAGATGTGATGTCACCCGTGGGAAATGATAGAATCATGAAAGTTGAAAAAGAGCTCCAAGATCAAGTCCAACCATCAACCCAACACCACCATCACCACTAAACCATGTCCCCAAGGGCCACGTCCACATGTTTTGTGAACCCCTCCAGGGCTGGGGACTCCAGCACCTCCCAAAGTTGTAGCAGAACCCCAAAGAACAACCAGCTGACATAACACAAAGGTCTGAGGCCTGCTCTCTGCTGGTGTAGTGAGCCCCCAGTTTGGTTCCCAGCTCATAAACAGGAATTTTGGGTCACTGCAGGTCTGCTACTGCACCACCACTGTCACACAGCTCTTTTTTTTCCCCCTCTTGTTTTGCAGGGTGCTGCTTTACGTGACATAATTGGTCCTGCTGCAACTGCTAAGCTGTAGCTGATGCCCCTGCTCAGCCCACAGCAGCCAGAAAGAGTTCCTGGGGTAGTAACCAACTTCTTTAATCTTCTTATACTTTATCAAGCATTAAAATTTCCCTTTGAAACCATCCTGGTTAGAGGCTTCTAGATTTTCCCCTGGGAGACCCTCCCCTTGTTGAGCAGTGTTCATACCCAGATGCCTTCCCTCCAACACAGATAGGGTGATAGCAAGGTCTCCATAGTCTTTTCTCCTTGGGTTTTTGGGGTCCTCTGGTCCAGAAGCCCCTCACATGAGGGAGCAGCATGGTCCTGGAGCAAGGATTTGCCTTGGAAGCTCTGGAAGCCAGATCTTGTTTTCTGAGGTCACATCCCCCTCCCCCCAGCCGACCCCACCCCAGCAGCTGGAGAGCTGTTGGGGGCAGAGCAGAAGCAGCAGAATAATTCACCCAGAGAGGCACCAGTGGGCTGTGTTAGAGGATTTTCAGTTGCCTCTCTGAAAATATCACTCCTCTGGAGAGAGGCTCCATGTCACCCTCAGCAGGTGGTTTATGACACGAGGAGGTGAGGGGAGCAGTGCCTGACACAGGCTGGAGAGTTGGGTGGGGAGGAACCTCCTGAAATCCAACAAGGGCACGGGCAGGGTCCTGCCCCTGGGGAGGAGTAACCCCCTGCACCAGGAGAGGGGAGGGGGGACCTGCTGGGGAGCAGCTCCACAGAGAAGGACCTGGGAGTGCTGGAGGAGAAGTTCATCATGAGGTGGGCCCTTGGGGCCAAGAAGGCCAATGGTGTCCTGGGGTGTGTGAAGGAGAGTGTGGCCAGCAGGTTGAGGGAGGTTCTCCTCCCCCTCTACCATGCCCT